TATGTTACAGGTCCTCATGGAAGTTTGCTGCATCCCGTGGATGACACTGAGGAGGTGGGCATGCCTCAAGCTGTAAATAAGCAAGGTAAGACCATCATCTCCATGTAACTCAGCTACACTGTTTCTTTGACAAAAACAGATACATAACTTGACACATTTTTTTTCTTATGCTTTCTCTGTTTTATTGCAGTGGCAGGGAAGCCTTTTAAAATCACAGCAGTCAATGGAGCTAACAGTCTTTCAAAATGGGGTGATGTTGGTCAGTTTTGGCTAATGTCTTTTGAAAATGCCTTAAAAATTGCAGAACTTGATTTTCATCGCTGGTCATACAGAAACATGGCTGCATCATGTTATATGGACAGCTCCCCTTAAAGATATTTGAAATGATCTGGATAGTCAGCTAGGAGAATCCTCCAAAATGTGGTTCAAGGCCTGAGCTGGCTTAAAACCCAAGAAAAACCTCTCCTGGGCTTCCCAATGATTTGAAAAGAGGCACATAATATTCATCTGGAATCTTAGATAAAGACATGAGCACGAAATGCTAAATTAGAAAATGACAGTGTCTTTTGAAAAGTTTTATAAGTGTTTTGCTCCTGAGCCTATAAGATAGCCGACTGCCAACCCCTCTTGTTTCCATTTAACATAAGGTCACTCTCTGGGAACAACTGTTGTCACCTTTCCCATCCTACGGTTCTGGCAAATGCTGACTCTAATTACAGGTTTGTCTCTAGTCTTCAAGCATCAACATGCATCTTCACCACAAGTTCCCTTCAATGAATCACACACCCCCCTTCTCTGACCTGTCTCACTGGTTGCACTTGAATCTGTATTCCTTAGCCACTCATTTGCTTTTCTGTATCCAAAGCAAAGAAACTGTCCTCAGGGAAGAATTTTCATTGCACAAAGGGAATCATGGAAATTATGTGAGAATCAAACTCTCAAGGGTGATACAGGAGCAAAGAATGTCATGAAGATTTAAAACTCTGGGATTTTTTTTTTTTTTCAGTTGGGCATAGGTGGGAGATATCTGCCAGGATTAGCTGGTTCTGTGTGCTCCCTTTATGGATTCTGACACACTAGCAGTTCCCAGGCACTATTTTCAGAGCTGTCCTGACACTTGTTAATAATGTTGGTGTATAAAGCTGTGCTCTTTTTAAACTCATTTAGACACAAAGAAAATTAGCTAGTATGCACCAGAAGGGAAAGGAGAGAAAATTATGTTATTGCTGTCGAGAGAGAATGCTAAAATTTTAAGTAAAATCAAAGAGGCCTTTCCCCGTCAGATCCAAATATTAGGGAGTAAAATTTTCAGGTGAAAAGCAGATACTCTGCCTTCTTGATGAGCTGACCAGCAGCTTGCTCTTGGACAAGGCCTAACAGGCCCCACTTGGCCGCCCTTACCTGTATCAATGCAATGAAATGTTTCCAATATGCTAAACTCCTGAAACTAATGTAGGGAAGAGTCTGATGTTCTTTTTTGCTTTCAAAAATGACAGCCCCCTAAATGCAAGAGGATTCTAAAATTGCATACTGGAACAGGAAAAGGATATTAGTGGGAAAACTGGTGAAATGTGAATAAAGCCTGTGGCTTAGTTAACAGTGTTTAATAAATGCACATGGTTACATAAGATGTGGGGGAACGCTGGGGGAAGGATAGGGCACCTCTCCATGCTGCCTTCACAACTGTCGTATAAATCTATAACTACTCCCAAATAAAAGAGGTTTAATGGAATGATGCCCCTTTAGCCGACTTGACTCTGATCTCGGAAGACACACAAGGTGACTTCTGGCTTCTGGGGGCAGCCCCACTGGTACCTTCCCCTAGACCCAGCACAGGCAACAGGAGGGTGTACCCCGAAAGGAGAATGCTCTTCCTAAGTAAGGCTGCCAGGCAACGAGCTGGGTCTCAGTGTCTCTGAGTTAGACAGAAATGCATAAGCCTGGAAAAATCAACAAAATGAGCTCAAACAAAAGCTGGCTGGGCCCTTCACCTTTGTTAATCATTTGCTCTCAGTAAGAGAGTGTGGTTATACATTGTCTCAGGCTTACCCTTGATTCATATGGAGGCTTACTGCTCAGTCAAAATAGTAGTATCAAGAGTGAGCAAGAGAACTCCAAATTTAGACACCTGTCTTTAGGTTAAGGGTATTTAATGGTCTTTTAGAAATTATCAGTGTGTATCCAATATAAAAAAATTTCAGTATGCCCATACTAGGTAAGTGTTGTAAAACTAAGGTTCTTCTAGTTAAGCATCTATCCTACATTTTGTTCAACCAGTTACTTCAAGTATAGATTTTTTCTCTTAAATACAAAGATATCTACTTTCAGAAACATATGGCCTCTGCATAGTCATTTTCCTTTGCTTAATTTTCATTTAAGCACAACTGTTTCAAGCATAAAGGTGAAAAAAGCACTTTTGGGGACTTCTTGAAGGATGGACAGGGGACCGAAGAGAACAGAAAGACTCACAGTGCTCGAGCACATCACTCAGTACTTCTGCATTCTGATTTCACTACTTCAGGTGCAGCGTTCCAGAAACTCTTCAGGTCCAGTGGTGCCGAGACATTAACAAGAAACTCTCTAAGATACTAAAAAATTTCTTAGGCAGAATGTGAAATTTTTATTTAAAATAAATTAGGGCAGCCCAGGTGGCTCAGCAGTTTAGCACCTGCCTTCAGCCCAGGGCGTGATCCTGGAGACCCGGGATCGAGTCCCACGTTGGGTTCCCTGCATGGAGCCTGCTTCTCCCTCTGCCTGTGTCTCTGCCTCTCTATGTATGTGTCTCTCATGAATAAATAAAATCTTTAAAACAAAAACAAACAAAAAAAATTACTTCTGCTACACCAGAGGTGTCTGGTATAGGCGGTTAAGCATCAACTCTTCACTTTGGCTCAGATCATGATCTCAGGGTCCTGAGACTGAGCCCTGCATGGGGGCAGTGGGGGGCGGGCATGGTGTCCCTGCTCAGTGGGGAATCTGCTTGAGAGTCTCTTCCTCTGCCCCTCCTTCTGCTCACCCTCTCTCTCAAATAAATAAATCTTTCAAAAAGCAGATTAAAAACAATTTCTACAGCAGATCACTGGGGTTAAGTGAACTTTTTAACAAAAGGGACTGGGATGGTGGAATGACCTTTTTCTCAGAGATAGGGTTTTGAGCTGAGAATGAGTAAGATCTGATTTATTTTTGAATAAGACCATTCTGGCCGCTACGGTGAGGTCTCAAGGTGGGAAAGACATGGTCAGGTTGTGCAAGTGATTTGAAGGTAGACCCAAAAGACACAGAGAGTAAGGAAAGGGCCAAGGAAGTACTTGGGTTTTTGTCCCCTGCAACAGGGAAGGATGGCCTTAGTCAGAAACAGAGAAGAGAGATTATAGGAGGAGCAGACGGAGGAAGACTAGCTCAATTTCAGCGATGTTAGGTCAGATGTTTAGAAATGTCAGGCAGGTGGCTGGCTGCAAAATCTGGAGTGGGAGGGAGGGGTCTGAGCTGGAGATGAAATTTTGGGCAGTCAACAGCACATAGATGGTACTTAAAGCTTGAGATGGGATGAGATGCCCTCAGAGATGAGAACAGCTAGGGAAGGACTGAGCCTGGGGCTCTCTAAAGTTCAGAGGTCAAGGGACTGACCCAGGAGGCCAAGACTTCCCCCACTCCTTCTGCAGCCCAGATGGTCCCAGGGAAAAAAACCTGAATATGGTGAGGTCTTTGTACTTAAGGCCAGTTACCTGGGAACAAAGCCTTAAGGGGAAAGGACATACATTTCCCCCATTCCTTGATTTTAAGAGTAATTTGCTATGTGAATCATTTTGGACTCATTTTGAAATAGTGATCTATAAGCCTGATTTGGGAAGGACTGCAGGGAAGAAGGGTAGTAATTGAAAGGCTTGAAGGCAAACTTGTGACTGGAAACAGGTTTCAAAAGCTATTTGTAATAATCTGTTCAAAACGTAAAACAGGGGATAAATTCTGCACATGCATCCCCACATAGCCCTGGTGTGTGACTCTGGCGCGTTTGTTTTTCCAGTAAGAGGAAAATAAATGGCAGCTGCCTTTGGCCAGACTTTAAATACAAAGCTATCTGTGAAAATAGTGACTCCAAAAATGAAATGATATGCTCTTCTTACTCTATGAATCCTCTCCAGGGCCCTGGCTATATGTAAATGCTGTGCTAGCAATGAAGTCCCACCTTTCCGGGACACGTCTTGTTCCTACAGAGAACGTACCTCACATTCACGAGTCTGGTGCAAAAAAAAGAGGAGTCACTGACACACAGGTTTAATTGGGCATTACTGTTGAATTCGATCAAAGACAAAATTCTCTTATCACTTTGATCGTCTGTAGTACTCGAGTTACAGAAATAAAACTTGTACAAAATGTATTCATGTGCAAAATAGATCATTTATTTAGCATCAAAATTAAATTATAAAAACATTGGTTTCATCTTGAAACATGCATTTTAAAAGCCATTGTGGCATTCTAAATTTGCAGGGAGACATGTACACAATCTGGATACCCAAACCCCTTTATAATTTCTAATGACAAAGACAACTGTCACTCGTGGGAGGCTGGTGGCAGCACAACTACCCTTTACATGCTGGCCTGCAGGGAATGAGGCCTCTTCCTGATCCCGCGTTTCTGCCTTGATCTTCGGAGGAAGAGCTTTGTGCTTGCTTAAACAGATCCTTGGTAAATGGTCAGGAATCCTCTAGGTAGTCATGCTGCTGAATTTACTGAAGAGGAGAAACACAGTCACGGCCTCCTGCCCACTTAAATTTGCCATGTTAAGCTTCTCAAACGGGGCTCTTCCTAACCAGCAACCCTAAAAGTCCAGCTTTCAATGTAGTAATAAGGGCTGGCTAACACCCTTTAATAACTACTTTGCAATTCCAAAGGACTCCCTGTTGGCTCTTCTAGGGAGGGAAATTATTGCTGTGCAGGTGGTTCTGAAGCTCTCAAGCCAAAAGACAGGAGCAGGTTAATCATCCCCCCCCCCCCCCCCCCCCCCCCCCGCCCAGGCTGACTGCTGAGTTCTGAGACACTCAGTCCCTGCCCTGATGACAGAGGAGGAAAGCACTGCCTTCTCTTTAGAAGGCCTGCCATTCATCTGCCTTTTCCTTTTTCTCCTTTATTTGTGGCAACTGTTTTTGGAAATTGGTAACTCCCCAGAGGCAGGAGATACAAGTAAGGCTGGTGTCTTGGGGGTGCCGTCCTCTGGGCAAACACAAGGAAGATGGGGCAGTTAGGCTTGAGAGAATATTTATGAGCAGGCTAAGATGGCCCATTTGTACCTGTGCTTTGGAGCCACTGAAAGTGGACATGGGAGGCTGTGACACTCTCAAGCATGAGGGATCCCAGTTCCAACTGTATTGCAATGCATATATTAACTACCCCTATTTCTGGAGAACTTAGGTTTCTCCCTGGCTGTGGATGAATGGGTTAGGTAGGCCTGGGCTGTGGGTCAGCAGGATAGGATAGTTTTGTAAGCCTTACAGGCCAGGGACATCCTTCAGCATGTCCCAACCAGATGGTCTCACTCCTGGGACTGCTGCCAGGAATAAGCCATGACATGGGACACGGTTCTGGTCCTAGACAAGGCCAGCGAGGCTCCTTTCAAGGACACACAGTGGTAACTCCACCAGGAGCACTTCTGTGTTCTTCTGGCCTTCAGCCTTCCATGTCAGTGAGTTTTCTCTTCTTATAGTTCTGAACAAGGCTGGAAGCTGTGATCTGAGAAGCCTGGCCCTTCTCCCAACACTGGAAGTCATTTAGTCCTTTCTGTCCTGTTTGAAACAAGCCCCTCTCCATCTCGTCGAGCCTGGCTACCAGGGCTGAAGTGTCTTCATTGTAAGCGTTCTGGGAGGAGTCCATGATGCGGCGAAATCGTCCAATGAATGTCTGGAGGGAGAAGGGAGTAAGAGAAATCAGATCCATCTTTATGGCTAACATTTTCTTTTTAAAGATTTTGTATCTAAGTAATCTCTACACTGAGTTCAAGTGGGGCTCGATCTCACAACCCTGAGTTAAGAGTTGCATGCTCTACTGACTGAGCCAACCTGGTGGCCCCATCCCTGAACGTTTAAAAGTCATGGAGGGAAAGAGTTTGGTCTCGGACTCAGTCTGAAGGAGGTCTGAGGCAACTTTACCACTCAAGGAAGTTATATGACATTGCTACATCTCAATTTCCCCATCTGTGAAATGGACTGTTAGGAAAATCCAATGGGTTGTCAGGAAACCAGGGAAGGAACACATGTAGAGCACCTAGCAAATGGCTACGAAGAGTAAGCTCCTTGAAAAGCCTTACCCATTACTGTTATTAGTGACAAAGGCCATAATAATGTCCTGTGACACATGATGACAGGTTTCAACCAGAAACTGATCTAACTGAATACATTTTCTATTTTTTTCAGTCTGAGAGCAGGATAGAGACACGTGTGATCTAGGGGTGTCATTCTACCCTAGGGCTCTGAGGCCAAACCATAAGCCCCTGCTGAAGTTTCATCAACTGCCTCACGGCAATGTCACCTCCTATATAAGCAACTTTATAGGACTTCAGAGCAGCGATGGGAAAAGAAAACACAGAACTCACTAACAAAGGGTAGTGTTCCTGGTCAAGAACATGTTTTGGTGACATTGTTAGACCAAGGGATCTTCCTCATTTTTAGTTTCCTGTTCAAGTTTCCTAAGCTCCAACTGTCTATAGTCTAGGTATTATCTGAATGGATTGCAACAAAGTTTTTCTTTCCTATCCACATTAAAAACAGCACCTGTACATATTAGGCCAAACAACCCTTGAGCCTGATGGATGGCATGGGTTCACAGCCCAGGGAGAAAATGTGTCTTCAGCCTCCAGTTCTTCTAAAGCTAGAAATGAGGAAGTAAAACAGGAGGTAGGAAGGATGGTTTCTTCTAATATTAGCAGGATAAAAAGTAATTATGGAAAGTTAAAATAAGGTCATATAGTAAGGATGGTAATATACATAAAACATTACTTTATCTGTAACCTGACAGTAATAGGCACCATTTATGAAATAGCACATCATCTCACTGCGATGTGATAGTTTTAGCACTATTATATTTCCATTTAGCAGGTAAAAGTTGAGAAGCCTAGAGAGGTTAAGTGGCTTGACCAAATTACACAGTGAGTACAAGGCAGGGCCACATCTTTTTTTTTTTTTTTTTTAATTTTTATTTATTTATGATAGTCACACACAGAGAGAGAGCGAGAGAGGCAGAGACACAGGCAGAGGGAGAAGCAGGCTCCATGCACCGGGAGCCCGACGTGGGATTCGATCCCAGGTCTCCAGGATCGCGCCCTGGGCCAAAGGCAGGCGCCAAACCACTGCGCCACCCAGGGATCCCCAGGGCCACATCTTAACCCCAAAACAAGGAAAGTGAACAAGAACACACGCATTCCTGCCAGTCCCGGGGCTGGGCTGGGCTGGGGTGCATTTGAGTGCCTGTCATGTGTGCTCAACCATCATCCTTTTCTTATTTCCAGGACTTCCTGCTGGTCCCAATTCTTAATAAACAAATATGAAGAGCCCAGACCAATCACTTTTAAGTATGTATATCATTGGAAAACAGTCTGTTGGTTGACATGGAATGACAAATACACTAACTGTATAAATGATGCAAGTCTGGTGACTGCCATGCCAGCTCCTGGGGCATGTGCAGTGTCCTGGGTTTTCACATTAATTACTTGCCTGCAGGAGGGACTCGGAAATGTCTGCATTCTCTGGACTGTCGAAATGTAGGAGCTGGGAGCCAAACCCGTAGAAATGTGGCCCCAGCTTGTGGAGGTCCACCACATTGGCATCGGCACTGAACACCGTCCTCCAACCTTGTTGGTAGATCTTGGGAAGTTCCACAGAAATGATCCGCCGCTTGTTGTCAAAAAGTCCCTTCGCCAGCCACAAGGGGAGTTCAAGCTTGGAGCCCTGCCTCAGACAAGAATGGAGATTTTTAAGAGCAAATACCATAGTAAATGTGTGTGGCAGAAAGGAAATATACACTGCTTGAGCACTATCAGTGCTGCCTATTCTCTTTGGGGGCAGGGCTACCAAACACAGAAGATCTGGATGTGACCTGAAAAACTGAGCTTCACGGGCTGAAGTTTCATAAATGTCATGATGGAGTGGCGAGAGAAATGGATTTAGTCCACAAAAGCACAGAACAGAAGAATGGGGTAAAGGGAAAGTTTTCTAACTCACAAATAAAAACTTCTAATTGCAGATACTTCAGAAGTATAATAAACATTTCTGCTTCCTATGAATATCTATTGCTCATATACGTGCTGGGGGCCTACTGTGTGCTAATCACCAGCCTGGGTGCCGGGGGCTCCCAGGAAAAGTGGCATCAGCCTGAGCTCAGGCCACAGCGCCTCTCTGTCCCGCTTCACAGCTTCAGAGGTGACAGAAAAGATAAATGTCTATATTTTTAAAGCATTAAGAGAATTGGGAAATATGGTGAGGTGGCCATGATAGACCAGAAATGAAGAGAAATGTCCAAAAAAAATAAAAGTCAAACATAACTGAATCAAAGGAGGCAGCAACAGCATAAAACTGCTGCAAAAGGTAGGAATGGCTCTGTGGTAGGAATGGCTCTGTGGTGTGTGTGAGCAGAGCTTTCTGCCAACCTCACAGGGCCGGAGTGACAAATCTTGAGTTCAAGGCTGCCAAAGCAGCCAGTACATAAGGGACCAAGATTTGAGAAAAAAAGGACAGAGAGAGAAATAAGTCCAATATCTGGTACCAAATATTAAGACTAATTAGGCACCAACTTTAAATAAATTTTTAAAAATCAAATGGAAATTCCAGATCTGAATGCAAGAATCGAACTTTAAGAACTCAGTACAGAGGGATGCCTGGGTAGCTCAGCAGTCAACCATCTGCTCAGGGTGTGAGCCCGGTCCAGGGATCAAGTCCCACATCGGGCTCCCTGCATGGAGCCTGCTTCTCCCTCTGTCTGTGTTTCTATCTCTGTGTGTCTCTCATGAATAAAAACAAACAAACAAATTCAGTAGGGAGTGCCTAGGTGGCTCAGTCCATTAGGCTTCTGACTCTTATTTTGGCTCAGATCACTATCTCAGGGATGTGAGATTGAGCCCTGCATCAGGATTCTTTCTGAGCATTATCCGAGAGAATAGTGCTCCGCCTGTCCCTCCACCCCTTAAGAAAAAGAAAAGAAAATAGATTAAGTCACATTAACTAGCTTACCAGATTTGACACAAATAGAGTCATGAGTTGAAAAAAGGGTAAATAGAAACTATCTAATTGAAGCATAAAAGGAAAATAGAGAAAAGAGCATGAGACATATGGAATATGGTGGAGAGGAAGGGAGAAAGAAAAGAAAAAAAAGAAAAGAAAAGAAAAGAAAGAAAAGAAAAGAAGAAAGAAAGAAAGAAAGAAAGAAAGAAAGAAAGAAAGAAAGAAAGAAAGAAAGAGAAAAGAAAAAAAAAAGAAAAAAAAAAAGGAAGAAAGAAAGAAGTCTAACCTGCATGGAATTTGAAGCCCAGAAAGAGAGGAGTACATTGAAGCAAAGAAAGTATCTGAAAAGACAAAAGCCATGGATTTTCCAAACTAAAAAGAGATATTAAATCACAGATTCCAGGAACATTATGAACACCAAGTAGGATAAATACTAATAAAATCACAATTAGGCACATCTTACATTGCTGAAAAAATGAAGACCTAGAGAAAATCTCAGAAGGTCCTGCTGGTGGGAGTGAGGAACACATCTCTTTTACAAAAGGAGCAAAAAGAGTCAAAGTCACCTTCTCAACAGATGGAAGCCACAAAATAATGAAAATAGAATGACATCTTATTTTTTAAAGATTTTATTTATTCATTCATGAGAGACACAGGCAGAGGGAGAAGCAGGCCCCATAAGGGGAGCCCGATGTGGGACTTGATCCCGGGACTCCAGGATCACGCCCTGGGCTGAAGGCTGGGCCACCCAGGGATCCCGAATGACATCTTAAAAAGGCCTGAAATAACCGCAAATCTAAAATTCTATGCCTAGTGAAAATAACCTTTAAAAGCAAAGGTGAAATAATGACATTTCCAGATAGGAAGTGTACAGAAAGTTAACATAGCCTGAGACTGCCCTCCTTAGAAGGGCCTGCTTACAAGGTTGGTCTTTGGTGGGTGTCCTAGAACTTGGGTTTCAGGAGGGTTCCCAGTATTCTCAGGATGGATATGAGTGAGTCACTGTGCTTAAACAGTTTACGCAATGTGCTTTATGCTGAATACCTGCTTTCCCTCTGGGAGCCTGGAATCTTGATATGTTAGGTAGAGTGCCTATGTAACTAGCCTTCAATAACACCTTGGGTGGTGAGCCTCTAACGAGCTTCCCTGGTCACGATATTTCACGCATGTTGTCATAATGCATTATTAGAGAAATTCAGTGCATCCTGTGTGACTCCACTGGGGCTGGACTCTTGGAAGCTTGTGTCCAGCTTCTTGCAAACTTCATCCCACACACTCTTTACCTTTGCTGATTTTGCTCCGTATCCTTTTATTATATTAAAATTTAGGGGATCCCTGGGTGGCGCAGCGGTTTGGCACCTGCCCTTGGCCCAGGGCGCGATCCTGGAGACCCGGGATCAAATCCCACATCGGGCTCCCGGTGCATGGAGCCTGCTTTTCCCTCTGCCTGTGTCTCTGCCTCTCTCTTCTCTCTGTGACTATCATTAAAAAAAATAATAATAAAAAAAAATAAAAATGAAAAAAAAATAAAATTTAAACATTAGTATGACTGTATGCTGAGTCCTATGAGTTCTCTTAGTGAATCATCAAACCCGGGGTTGGTCCTGGGGATCCTTGTACAGACAGAAATGGAGACAGACCAGAAGACACATAGTAAGGAAATCTTGAAAGGAGAATGAAAATGATCCCAGAAAGAAACATGGAAATGCAGGACACAAAGTAAATAGTAGGAAGGCAAAAATAAACACAAACATATCAATAATTAAATATAAACAAATTAAGTACACCAATTGGAAAACTGTCAAACCAAAGAAAAACAAAACCCAACTATACGCTGTTTAAAAGAAATATATCTTAATTATAAAGACACAGAAAGGTTGAAAAAATGCCATGCAAATAGTAGTCAAAGGAAATAAGCATACTAGAGATAAAAAGGACATCTGACAAGAATAAAAGGATCATCATATCCACAAGAAAAAGAGGTGGGTAGCCCGGGTGGCTCAGCAGTTTAGCACCACCTTCAGCCCAGGGCATGATCCTAGAGACCTGGGATCAAGTCCCAGGTCAGGCTCCCTGCATGGAGCCTGCTTCTTCCTCTGCCTGTGTCTCTGCCTCTCTCTCTCTCTGTGTGTCTCTCATGAATAAATAAATTTAAAAAAAGACAGGTATCGGTTTAAACTGACAGAAGTAAAAGGAGAAAATGCAAGTCTATAATCTGAGTGGGAGACTTTGGCATATCTCTTTAGATAAATAACAGCCAAAAGGTAAGAATATAAAAGATCTCAACAAAACAAACAGCAAACTTGACCTTACATTATTTATCACACACCATGACTTCATAATACACATCTGGTTCAAGTACATATAGAATGGTTAAGTTGATTTTATGTTGGAGTATAAAGCAAGCCTTAACTTTCAAAAGACTGAAATCATTCAGATTACATTCTTTGGCTACAGTGGAATGAATTAAGCTAAAAATCGAAAGCAAAAAATAAAGAGCAAAATCCCAACATGTTTAGAATTAAGCACTTGTCTTCTAAATAACCCATGAGTCAAAGAAGAAATTACAAGGGAAATTAGAAATTATTTTGAACTCATTGATATGAAAATAAAATACAACAAATCAAAACTTGTGGAATGCAATTAAAGGTGTGCTCTGAATAAATGTAGAGCTAGAAAATGCATAAAGGCAGGCAGAAAAATCAATAACCTGGGGACCCATCTCAAAATGCACTGTTAGTGCTGAGGGTGGTGGTGGTAGGAAACAATGAAAATTAAGTCCAAAGAAAGTAGAAGGAAAGAACTAATTAAGAACTTAATGAGCTAGGGGATCCCTGGGTGGTGCAGCGGTTTGGCGCCTGCCTTTGGCCCAGGGCGCGATCCTGGAGACCCGGGATCGAGTCCCACGTCGGGCTCCTGGTGCATGGAGCCTGCTTCTCCCTCTGCCTGTGTCTCTGCCTCTCTCTCTCTCTCTCTGTGTGACTATCATAAATAAAATTAAAAAAAAAAAAACTTAATGAGCTAGAAAACAAAGATACAAAGGAGAAAATTAACAGAGCTGTAAGTTCTTTTAAAACACAAATAAAACAGGGGCACTGGGGTGGTTCAGTAGGTTAAGTGTCTGCCTTTGGCTCAGGTCATGATGGGGGAGGGTGTGTCCTGGGATTGAGGCTCACATCAGGTTCCCTGCTCAGCAGGGGAGTCTGCTTCTCCCTCTCCCTTTGCCCCTGCTCTGAACTCTATCTCTCCCAAATAAATAAAATCTTAAAAAACAAATAAAAGGCTAAGAAAACAGATGAACACATGGGAGAGGGGAAAAAAGAGAGACAGAAGGAAACAAACCATAAAAGGCTCTTAACAATAGCAAACAAAACAAGGGTTGATGGAGTTAGGTGGGTGGGGGATGGCCTGGATGAGTGATAGGGATTAAGGAGGACACCTATTATGATGAGCACTGGGTGTTATATGTAAGTAATGAATCACTGAATTCTACTCCTGAATTAATATTTCATTGTATGTTAACTGGAATCTAAATAAAAAATTTGAAGAAAAAAACAAGACTAATGTAATTGATAAACACCTAGCAAGACTAATGAAGGGGGCATAACTTCTTATCAGGAATAAAAAACCAAGACACCAACATAATCCTACAGATGTCAAAAAGATGTCAAAAAGACAGTAAAAGGAGATTTCGAATATTGTACCACTCCATCTGAAAATGGCAATGAAATTGTCAAATTCCTAGGGGAGAAAACAATATACCAAGAGTAACACAGGAAGAAATAGAAAATGTGAATAGTTCTATCTATATCTACAAATGAAATTAAACATGTCCTTAAAAACCTTCCTACACAGAGCTCCCATGCAGAAGAATTCTAAATAATTTATATAGACACTCTGCCCTAAAAGAAGTACGTAACTCCCTATTCCTTAAGTGAAGCTGTGCATGACTCCCCCCCAAAAAAGAACAGTATGGAGGGTGGAAAAAAGTAGCTTTATGGGAAAGAATCCTGAGAAACACTACTTCAGCTGGGTGATCAAGGTTCTATCAATGTGATAAGTCATGCCGACAGCATGAGCTCTTGATATGATACGATAAAAGCAGCACTTTACCTCGGTTTTCTTCCTCCTCAAAACCTGTCACTACAGCCTAACCATGAGGGAGATGTCAGACAAATCCCAATTGAGGAACATTCCACAAATTATCTGCATGGCACTCCACAAAACTGTCAGTTATTAAAAACAAGGAAAAGCTGATAAACTGTCACAGCGAAGAGTGGCCTAAGGAGACAGATATTAAATGCAATGGGAATTCCTAGATGGAATCCTGGAACACAAAGTGACATTAGGTAAAAGAAGGCAATATGAATAAAGGACGGGCAGCGATGCACCTGCACCCCAATGTTCATAGCTGCAATGTCCAGAGCTATTGTGGACATATAGCCAAACTAAGTTGAGAGCCCAAATGTCCATCAACAGATGAAGGGATAAAGATGTGGAATATATATGCAATGGAATACTACTCTGCCATCAAAAAATTAAAAGTCTGGGCAGTCTGGGTGGCTCAGTGGTTTAGTGCCTCCTTCAGCCAGGGTGTGATCCTGGAGACCTGGGATTGAGTCCCACGATGGGCTCCCTGCATCCCTCCCAGCCCTGCACGATGGGCTCCTGCATGGAGCCTGCTTCTCCCTCTGCCTGTGTCTCTGCCTCTCTCTTTCTCTGTGTCTCATGAATACATAAATAATATCTTAAAAAAAAAAAAGTTTGCCATTTGTGATGACATGGATGGAATCAGAGTATTATGCTAAGTGAAATAACTCAATTAGAGAAATATAATTATCATATGATCTCCCTCCTTTGTGGAATTTAAGAAATAAAACAGGATCATAGGGGAAGAGAAGAAGAAATAAAACGAGAGGAAAAAATAAAATGAAATCAGAGTGAGACAAATCATAATGGACTCCTCACAGAAAACAAGAGGAGGGGTTGCTGGAGGGAAGGGGTGGGGTAACCCAGTGATGGGCATTAAGGAGGGCACATGATGTAATGAGCACTGGGTGTTATTATGCAAGTGATGAATCACTGACATCTACCTCTGAAACTAATAATACATTATATGTTAATTAATTAAATTTAAAGTAAAAAAGGGCAGTGCATCTCAGTTTACCAGTGTGTAGGAGAACAAAATCCTTTATCTACTAAAACGCAAAGCCAAGAAATAATTTATTTTTTTACAAATCAAGAAAACAAGCTTAAGACTCTTATTTGAAAACAAAGTGAGGCGCCGAGGTGGCTCAGGTCTAGGTTGAGCATGTGCCTTGGGCTGAGGTCGTGACCCCGGGCCTGGGATCTAGCCCCACAACGAGCTCCCTGCTCAGCAGGGGTTCTGCTCCTCCCCCCCCCTGCCTGCGGCTCCTACTACTTGTCCTGTTTCTCTGTCAAATAAAATCTTAAAAAAAAGAAAAGGCGAATCCTGAAGAAACTATTTAAAAAGTCGCCAGAAAGTGTGGGAAAGCAAGGCAGAACCTACTACTACTTTCTGACATAAATTTTGTTGGTACCCTCTGACCTTTAAAACGCTGTATATGCATTACTTCGATAAAAAAAAAAACAAAACAAGGGCAGCCCCGGTGGTGCAGTGGTTTGGCGCCGCCTGCAGCCCAGGGCGTGATCCTGGAGACCCTGGATCAAGTCCCGCGTCGGGCTCCCCGCATGGAGCCTGCTTCTCCCTCTGCCTGTGTCTCTGCCTCTCTCTCTCTGCATCTCTATGAATGAATGAATAAAAATCTTAAAAAAAAAAATATGCCGAAGTAACACACCCTTCCAAACAAAATGTAGATGAAAGAGAAAACAACAAAATAACGCCGACGAGCCCTTCCCGGGACAGACTAGCGTGCGCAGTCACAGCTCCAGACTGCAGTCCCAAGCGCACCGCGGGCAGCGGGCCCTGAGCAGGTGCAGGTGCACAACCCGTCCTGGCTCGATCCCTAGCGTGCGGCCGCGTCCGAGCACAGGGTCGCAGGATGAAAGGCGTCGTGGAGGGATCCTCTCCCTCGCTCCACCCACGCCCGCGTGGCCCGTGGACGCTCGCGGAGGAGCCCTCATCCTTGCGCAGGAACGAACCTCGCCACGTGCGGCTCCGACACGTATCACGTCCTCCTACAGACCCAAAGCTTTGGTTTAAAGACAGACGTGATCAGAACCCCGGTCCCGAAACGGCCAGCAGTAGCCAATTCTACAGCCTTCGACACACGGGGCGGGGGGGGGGGGCGGACACCGCTCAACTTGGACAGCTTCAAAAGTGAAAGCAGCGGCCTGACCACGTGGGACCAATCCGGTTCCGCACCGAGGGCGAACGCTCAGAAACCAGCGGAGCGCGCGGAGGCCCGCTTCCCCGCACCGCGGCAGCGCGGCAAATCCCAGGGAGGGCGGCGCCCCGCGACGTGGCCGCGCGGCCCCCTGGGAACTGTAGTCTTTCCGGCGGATGCCGCGCCGCGAGGCTCACCTGAGGGATCGCGTGGTCAGTCTCGGCCCCACCGCTCCGCTCCAGGAGGAAGGCGCCGAGGCGGGGCATGGCGGTCTCTGTGCGCACTGGGAGCTTCTCGTGGGACATCAGGATGTCGTCCAAGGACAGAAAGTTTTCCTCAGGCCCCAGCGCACCCGACTCCACCCGGAAATAAGCCTCGGACATGACGGTGACTGCGGCTTGAGCGTCTCCGCTTCCACTCGTGCGATGCCGGGAGCCCGGGACGGAAAAGTAGGAGGAAGCGCGGGCAGCTCAGGGACGTGGAGGGTCTCGGCGGCCGCGGGGCGAGATTGGAAGTTTTCCCGCGCCGGGGACGAGCCAGACCGGAGCAGTCGATTCCGGCGGCTCTGCCCAGGCAGAAGCAATCGAAAGTATGCGGACTTGGTCCCACGTGATTAGGGGCGGGAAGCAGTAGAACCCCCACCCCTCGCCGCCCCGGGGCAGATTTCTACCCTGCACAGTGTGAGCCCAGTGTGGGGAACTTAAAAAGGAGCTGGAATCGCCCATTGCTGGATGCGTTGTACTAGACTGTGTTTATGTGATGCTCATTAAATGTTTACATAAAATTAAAAACACTTTGCAACACGTTTGGGGGCGTGTAGAAAGGCATCCTTGTGGCCTCGTCTCGGGCTTGATCAAGTCAGACTTGTTTACCCCCGTTTTGTCACTGTACCTGTTATTCTTCGTCCTTGAAAGAAACATTAAAAACAAAAAATTTCCAGCACCAGCCCAAGATAATTTATGCGCTATTTGTAGTATTTTGGCATTAGTAAGGGATGGAGGAGGAGGAGGGGTGGAGCACTAGACCATCCCTGGCTTAAAGGTCCTGAGTTGACTTCAGGGCCTTCCAGTTCACTTTACCATCCACTGGAAATCTCTTGTCGGCTCTTTTTTTTTTTTTTTTTTTTTTAAATTTTTAATTTATGATAGTCACAGAGAGAGAGAGAGAGAGAGAGGGAGGCAGAGACATAGGCAGAGGGAGAAGCAGGCTCCATGCACCGGGAGCCCGACGTGGGATTCGATCCCGGGTCTCCAGGATCGCGCCCTGGGCCAAAGGCAGGCGCCAAACCGCTGCGCCACCCAGGGATTCCTCTTGTCGGCTCTTAATTTGAAAAGAGGACATCTGATTGGCCCAGTTTGTCTTTTGGGGAGGGTCATAACAGTCCCATGTTGCCAGCCACCCCTGTAGATTGGATGGGTACTTGTGTCAGATGCAATCACTTGTTTAGTAGGGGGGCGGGGGTGGAGATAGAGAAGGGATCATGGTTATTGTGAAAATTATTAAAGAGAAACTTCATCAAAATGCAGTCAGGAGATTCAGCAGGGGGAGCTCTCATGCCCTACCAGTCTTTGCTAGTTGCAAATCCAACAGGGAGAGTAGGACCTTGCACTGGGATATAATCTTACTACCTTAGCAAAAGGAAGAAAGGCTTTCCTCGAACGGCCCAGCCAAATGAGAAGCAGTCACAACCGGGCCAATGAGAAGCCACTGTCCATTTTACTCCAACGGACTTCTTGTTTATTTTTTATTTTTATTTTTAAAAGATTTTATTTATTCATGAGTGACAGAGAGAGAGAGAGGCAGAGACACAGGCAGAGGGGGAAGCAGGCTCCCTGCAGGGAACCTGATGCGGGACTCAATCCCGGGACTCCAGGATCACACCCTGGGTGGGAGGCAGAGGCTCCACCCCCAAGCCACCCAGGCATCCCATGACTTCTTGTTTATAACAGCTTCCCCAACTGCCCCCACGCCCCACAAATGAGCCAACTCTGGTTTGCTCTCTGGTCATATCTTTGGTGTTGCCATAAGTTGCTTGCCCTGGATCACAATTCTCTGCTATTCTCGAATAAACATATTTTTGCTGGGAAAATAATGCAGTTTTATTTTTAAGGTTACCAGTTACGTGCTACCAGACTTGGGGTGCTTTTCATCACAGCTATGGGCAGTGGTGTTGTTGAGAGATGCACTGTAGAACTTCATACAGAAAGGCATTTTCTGGGGTGACTAGAGCTATGAGCCAAAGGTTCATGGGAAGGGAGATGTGTATTAGTTATGTTTCTTATTCCCTGCATTTTAAAATGCTGTGATATCTTGGGGACTTAGGCACCCTCCACTCCCAGGAGCTGTCCCTCCTAAAGTGAGCTAACTCCTACAGTAACAAACAACTTGCCAGTGCACACAGCTTCCACTAACCAAACAATTGAAAGTCTGTATCCCCAACTACTTCCTTTAACTCTCACACACCAAGCCAATAGTTCCCTTGCCCTAAATCACCCCAGGGCTGAGTACTGGACAATGAGAGACACCTTTTTTTATTACAGAGTGCACTGACATTATTCAAAGTATCCCATCCTAAGCTCACTCAAATTTGCCTACTCTGTGTCACCCGTTTCTTCCCACAGAAACCACAATAAAGGCTCTGGATCATGCTCTCCTTTCACTCCTTTTGTTTTCCTTCCTGACCCTAATACCTCCCTGTGTGGCTTTTTTTTTTTTTAAGATTATTTATTTATGAGAGAGAGAGAGATTGGCAGAGACACAGGCAGAGGGAGAAGCAGGCTCCATGCAGGGAGCCCAATGTGGGACTTGATCCCAGGACCCTGGGATCACACCCTGGGCCGAAGGCAGGCTCTAAACCGCTGAGCCACCCAGGCGTCCCTCCCTATGTGGTTTTGAATAGCATAATGTGCCCCCTTCTTTTGAGATATGTGAGCAATAAAACTTCTTTCAATGGCACTGACCACTCTGTCATTACTCAGTCACCCTTACAAATTAAATCCTGTTGTAATCAAAACAAGAGGTGGTGGGGGAAATGGGGCCAAATTGTGGAAAGCCCCAGGTGCTAAAGAGTTTAGGCTATTCCACAGGGAATAGGGAAGAGTAAGATTTTTGAGCAAGTGACAACATAAATCTGAGCTTTAAGGAGAGAATTCTGGCAGTGGGGTGAAGAAGGTAGAGATTCGATACAGGGAAGTCAGTTTGGAAGTTCAGTGAACCATATCTGGCAATTAATTAGATAAAAGAAGTGAAGGGCAGAGAGAGGCCAAAGATAATTCAAGTTTTTAGCCTGGTTGACCAGGTGGATAGAGATGTCATTAACGGATATGCAGAACACAGGAATATGGGCAATTTGGGGTAAGAGATGAGTTTGGTCATGGAGTCCAGGAGCCACTAGACTGGTAGATTTCCAGCCCTATAGAGAAACCAGTCTTGAACATTTAGTTAGGCATCTGTTTAGAGGTAGTTACAGGAGAGTCTTTAATTTTATCATATTTTAAATATTCCATTTGCTAGACTACCCAATATAAAAGTAAACATAATTCATAGTCAAATTTTATAATTTGATGAAATGGCTGTAGGGTCTGGATACAGTGACTAGAAATATGTTAATTTGTCTAACTGAAAGCAATGCGGGTTATTTACTGACAAGGCTAGTAAGCCATTTTTTATGTTGAAACCATTAAGATAGATGTTTAATGATTTATCAGTGCCAAAAAAGGCTTTATTTTTCTACAAATTGTCTCTATACTCAAATGCCACAGCTATTTTAATACTAAAGTAATAGGCCAGTGTTTAAGATAAAATCAGATTACCTTGTTTTTCTTTTGTGGTATCTTGGTTCGGCATGAAACTTATTCACCGCTTGCATATTTTTGCTTTATTTAATGTCTTCTTGAACTAATGAGTAAGCCAGGAAACGTGAAAATAAAGTTTGAACTTATGATGCTAAACAATTGCATTAATTCACTTGACAAAAGTGGTACACAGTTTATCAAGTATAGGTCTGTTTATACCCTAAATTTTAAGAGCCAGGAATGTTTCTTTTTTTTATTTTTTTTTAATTTTTTTTTTAATTTATTTATTTATGATAGTCACACAGAGAGAGAGAGAGAGAGAGAGAGAGGCAGAGACATAGGCAGAGGGAGAAGCAGGCTCCATGCACCGGGAGCCCGATATGGGATTCGATCCCAGGTCTCCAGGATCGCGCCCTGAGCCAAAGGCAGGTGCCAAACCGCTGCGCCACCCAGGGATCCCAGGAATGTTTCTTTTCTCTCTGAAAGCTTGTGTTCCTTACTACCCAGCTAATCAACCTATGTACCAGAATTGTGGTAGACAGAATTTCAGCATATTTATGATATTCAGATGTGGGCACTATATTTACCATATACAGAATTTCAGTATTCCAAAGGTGTCTACTGAATCCCTGAAAAAAGCACTAATTTTCCCAGTGTCATCATTTCAAGATTGCAGAATCCTAGAACTGTGGGACAGACACAGACTTTAGATCATCAAAACCACAAGCAGCTTTAAATCTGGTCTTTTGAATACTGGTGCTTTCTAAATTTCTTCCACTGAGTGGGGAGGCTGTGATGCAAGTCACAGAAATCCAGCAGAAATCCAGATCTGGGGGACGGGGGAGGATCTATGGAGGGATTTAAAAAAGAAGATGAAACGTATTGAACTCCATCCTTCCAGTTGCTTCCTAGGCCAAAAGTTCTAGGGTTTTTCTTCATTCATCTCCCCTTGTACTCTATAACTAGTCCATCAGCAAATGTTGGCTCTGCCTTCATAATATTTCTAGAATTTGATTATTTCTTGCCACCAACCAACATCATCTCTTGCTTGGATTTTTGCAATAGCTTCCTGTATAGTCTTGCTTCTGTCCATGACCTCCTTTTTGTTGAAAGCACCAGGCATGCTCATTTCTCAGGACTTGGCACTGTCTGTTCTCACTCACTAGATTGCCTTTGTCTTGGATTTTCATATGTGTGGTCCCTTTCAGGTCTTTATTCAAAAGTCACCATCTCAAAAAAAAAAAAAAAAAGTCACCATCTCAATGAGGCCTTCCCTTGCCATTCTATCCAAAATTTTAACCCTCCCCAACTGACCCCCTCTTTTTTTTCCTTAGTACCATCACTCTCTTATGTTCTATATATTTTACTTAAAAAATTATTTATTTAAGAGAGAGAGAACACAAGCAGTGGGGAGGAGAGAGAGTAGAGGGAGAAGCACACTCCCTGCTGAGCAGGGACCTTGACACAGGGCTCCATCCCAGGACCTGGGGATCATGACCTGAGCCAAAGGCAGACGCTTAAATGACTGAACCACCAGGCACCCCTATATTTTACTTTTTAACCTTGTGTATTGTCTGTCACCCCTACTTGAACATTAGCTCCATGAGGTCAGGGATTCTTTTTGGTGTATTTTTCATTCCTATATTCCCACTTCCTCATGCATGTTAGGCACTTCATAAATATTTGTTGAATGAATTAGTTCATCCCCTTTAGTTATAGTAGGGATATTATTTTCCTTTAAAACATTAAGCGAAAAACAACGAATCAATTTTAAGTAAATAATAGGACAAGTTGTGTACACATATTACAACAGTCACAATGGGTAGTAGTGAAACACTGAAAACCCTGAATTAAAGTGCTAAAAAATAGAGGTGCCTGGGTGGCTCGGCAGTGAAGCATCTGACCCTTGATTTTGGCTCAGGTCATGATCTCAGAGTTGTGAGATCAAGCCCCACGTTGGGCTCCATGCTTTCAGCGGGGAGTGTGGTTGAGATTCTCTCTCTCCCTCTCTCTCTGCCTCTCTCCCCACTCATGCACACACACTGTCTCTTTGAAATAAATAAATATTTTTAAAAAGTGGTAAAAATAGTTTGCCAACGTAAAAATAGTATGCAACAGATTAGGTTGCATAATCTTCCGGG